TCTTGCTAGAGGTTGTAGCTAATAAACATAGCTGGACTGAACTGGCATTGTCTCTTGGAGTTACTTGGGCTAGGCCTGACAATACAATAACAAAGTAAGAGCAGTTTCCTTTGAGGTACTGCTGGACCTCTCTGCATCATGATCTTGAAATGCTGTCAGCATGAACATCTTCACTCGGTATGCTTGTCATCCATTCAAGCCATATTTTGTATTAAATAAGGTTCTGGAATCCCCAAAATGTTTGTCCTCTGGAATTATTCTTTCTGCATTTGTTTCATTTCATTTGATTGCATTTCTTTTAGTATCCATGATCAAAAGAAAGAACCAGTGTGTGAGTAAATGGCAGAAACAAGTTAAGATACTTCCACATATTTATTTTACAAAGCAATTTGACGTTGGCATCCACATCTGCAGACTTGAAATGCTGAAAATGTGTGGCAGTCACCACAAGCTAGACAGTGTTCCCCGTTAGTCATCAACAGAAGAACACACAGAATATTGTCAGTAAATGCTCCACCCTTTGTGATGCTTTGGATCCCAGTTTAACAAAACTCCCCTCACCTCTGCTGTGTGCAAAAAGGAAATTAAGAATGGTTAGCATTCTTCCTCCTAAATAGTTAAAATGGAATGGTATGTAAGAGAAGGTTTGTTTTAAAAAAAGAAACAGCTAAGTCATCTTGCCCCCACCCCTCTGCTTCATTTAAAAGCCTCAAAAGGGAAATTTGAAGCATACTGAATGTTCTGCAATCATGTGCGGGCAAGAATGAGCGATAAGTCCTAAATAATACAGACAACCTCCAGGAGACTGAGCCTGTATAGCTGTAGGGTGCAGACAACGCAGACACAGAGAATTGGGATGAGTCAACAGATCCCACCAATGAAAAAGTGAGCCACACGCGAGCTCCACAGAACTGCAGTACATCTGAGAAAACTCCTGCTGTGCTCTGGTTTCAAATCAACCATAACAGAACCAGGAAAACAAATCAACTCAGCAATCAAAACCAGCCAACATTACGCAATCAGATAAATTCCAAGTTGGATCAGAAATGGCACAGATCCTTTCTATAGATGTGCCCTAAAGCTCTTGTAAGATCCCTACCTGTGATTTAAAACACCTTCTAGAATCACCCAGTCATCATTAAGGTGATGCAAAGTCTATCCTCTGTACTATTATTTCAGGACAGCAGTAGTTGGAAGATGCAGTATAATAATGAGGATCCTGCGTTAGTCCAGACAAAATGGAAATATTGTTGGCTGACAGTTCCTCTACCAAGGCAAATGTTTCCATTTTGTCTTAGTTGGAGTACAGTACCATTGAAAGATGAGGTTTACTCATTAAGCCAACACTTTCCTTAGAAGGTTGAATCTTTGCCGTTCCAAACATCTTCTATTAGCATTGGTTAATATGCTCGCTACAATCTTACCTGGATGAAAATAGCTTGACCATGCCTACATGCTCTTCAACTTTTTTTATATATGCCATTTTTATATATGTTTTTAACTATTTATAGATTATGTTTATGGCTGGAGAGTCCTGTGTTTTTTATTATTATTGTGAGCCGCCCAGAGTCACCCATTGGGGGAGATGGGCAGCATACAAATTTGAAAAATAAATAAATAAATAAAATAAACAAACTTGTACTGTGGTGATGGACTGTGGATAAAAGTGCCTTTAAATTCAGTTCAGATGCAGTAGTTAATCCAAAACAGGATCACTATGACATTGAGAACTGGTCATTTCAACCTTATTTTGCTAATGTTTCCCCAGGTGCTTTGGCTCTGATCTGCTTCTGAGTCCTGTTTGATAAGTTGGTTTGAAGTTCCTTAAAGCTACAAATAGCTTTGAACCAGGTTAGTTGAAAGAACATTTTCTTCTGTATGTATTTCTCCAAACGTTAGGATCTTCAGGAGTCCCATTCCAATTTCCTCATCAAATAGATAGAGGGCCTTATTTAATTGCAAATCAGCTTGAGAACTTTGTTATATAGCATATGAAAGTTGTAAAGAAAAAAACACACCTTTTAGATGACAAATGTGAAAAATAGGAATGAGGCTTTCAATAAGGTTCTGTTGATGCAAGGCCTGACACTTTGCATTTAAACTTATGGGAAACATTTTGTGAACATTTTAATGCTTGAAGAGCTATCTGATGCCAATGTAAGTACATTGCTGGCATCAAGCAGGGCTTTGTTATTTTTGCAATAATCCCAAATTGTATTAAGAAACTAACAACAATTTTGAATGCTGTGGAGCCACAAACCATCTTCAACTCAACTGGCAGCTTCAACCTATCCCCACTTTAAGGCAAGGAATATACTGAGATCTCTTTCTCTGCAAACGTGTTTCTTGTTTTAATGCTGTACATTTTTACATGTACACTTAACATATAGCTCTAGGATTTCAGAGCATGATTACAGGACACCACAAAAGCTTGCTGCCGTTCTGTTCTTTATTGCTTCATCCATCAGGAGTCCCTGTTGGCCCAGGAAAGAAAATCCATTCATTGGCTGTGTAGTTATCACTGTTTGGCAATACCCCAAGCCCTTGATTAAAGCGACCTTTCAATTGAGTCCTCCAGGGCCATTCCAGATGCAACAGTTTGACCTCCCAGACCTAGCACCAGAATAATAAAAGTCTGCGGGGCTATTGATTTTCCTCACTTTTAAATAACAGAAAAACAACCTCAAAGGATGTATTTATTAAGCCCATTACTTCTTCTCTTACGGGTGTCTTTCCCAGGAACCAGAATGCTAAGGCAACCACCTGGGGGTCAAGAGGGGAAATTTTTGTTCCAGATGGCAAAGCATTTAACTATGTGATTATATCTTGTTAAGTCCTTGTTCAGCATTTAGGATTCACCCCATATGCCTGATTGTTTACTTATCTGAATGATAACCTTCTTTTCCATTAAAGAATGGTGCTTGAGGCAGTTAAAAATAGAGTTTTTAAATAAACAAAAACCCAACCCTTGTAAAAATCCTTGTTCAATTGTACTTTAGTTAAAATACTACTTTAAAAAAAACTTGCTTCAAGACATTGTTCAAGCCTTCAAAACTCAACTCAGCAATCTGTCCACCATACCATTAAAGGCTGTTCTGAATTTGTTAAAAAAATATGTTGTTCCCTGCCAGAAAACGAATAAAAAAAGGAGCTGGCCTGATATCTCTTGGCAGGGAGTTCCAAAGACTGGGAGCAGCTGACATAATTAGCAATTTCCTGCTGCAAAATATGAACCTCAGCAATTTATCACATTTGAGTCATCCTGAGGAACTATAATAGAGTTCTCTGGTCTACATTGCAAAAATCCAAACTGCAATAAGGGTTTCCTCCTGGTTTTCCACCATCTAAGTTTCAGCTTCTGTGGCATATTTTTTCCAAGATGCTTGATGTTATATAAGTGATTCAGGAGCCTGGGAAAATTACATTTCCAAGGGCTTTGGGGACATTCCCATAGCATATGACAGCAGACATCAGGGAATAAGAGTGGCCTTCAGAAAGAGCCCTGCACTACCCTTAAAGCTTGACTGAAGAAATGCACTCTGGGGCAAGGTCCAAATGACATCCTCAATCCATTTCATGCATAAAAGTTGGTACAGTAAATGCCTGAGTCTGCTACTGTTGCCCCCTCCATCTGCCACTCAAAACAGCCACCTCACTTTGCCTCATCATAGGACTATCTTTGGTCTCTAGATCAAGTAAGTGGGAAGAAGCTGACTTGATAGGATTGGTGGTGGGGTAGTGGACAACACAAACAGAGAGTTGGGAAGAGTCAACAGATTCCACTGATGAAAAAGTGAGCTACATGCACACTCCACAGAACTGCAGCAAGTCTGAACTGCAGGATTGGTGGTGGGGTACCACGCTACCAACAATGCTACCAACGCTCACAGAGGTATAAGCATTATCATACAACATGATAAGCATTGACTAGTGGTAAATATGGACCTTTTCTGCTTTGTTGGTTAGCAGACATTTTGAAGGCACTCAACAGTGTAGAAAGATAGGGTATAAAAGGTATCACAACTACCTGGACAGTGTCTGACCAGCTGACACTTTTGCTTTAACTGTTTTGTTAAATATGCGGACACAGGTCAAGCAGTCCCATTTTGGAACCATTCTAGCCATCTGTTGTTAGTGTGGAGGCCTGAAGAAAAATTTACAAGCAATTAATCTTGATGTCTAGGTCCAGAAAACAGGAGAGAAGGTTAACAAAACATTGTTAAAATTGTGGTTAATGTACCCCTTAACCACAATTGAATCTACAGTTCAGATTCCAGTGACATGCTAGGCTTGCCAAATTGTCTTAGTTTATTGTGGGAATACAGCTATATGACTGTGCACTCTTAATTTCCCATTGGTCATTCTAGTTCCAAAACTGTGTTTCAGGATATGTTAACTCTGAGCAAGTAATCTTTAACCATCTTAACCAATAATTATTTCTTATTCTAGATTACCATAACTTTATTTTACATGGTATAGAACTTTACAACTTATTAAAAATGTGACCAAGTTTACAAAAGATCTGTTATATCATCCTAACAGTTATTCAAAATATCCTAAATCATACTTTCCCAATTTGATCCTCTTGCGATGCACTGAATGGGCTGAGAATCCCTCATCTAGTGAGGCCACTAGATTGGGGAACACTCCCTAAAATTGCCACTAGGTTGGGGGACATTCCCTAAAAGGGCCACTAGATTGGGAGACATTCCCTAAAAGGGCCACTAGATTGGGGAAGACTCCCTAAAAGGGCCACTTGATTGGGGGACACTCCCTAAGTCAGCCACTAGATTGGGGAACACTCCCTAATATGGCTAACTAGTTCATCTTGTGTTTTTTCATGGAACCTCTTAATTCACAAAATCTTCTAGAGTAGAATTTCAAGTTTAACCCCTAATATGGTTAAAATTATTCCCTGTGGAGAAGAGTATGTGCAACTAGCTGAAAAATGATTGACCAAAAGATGTGCTATATTTAGTTCAATTACTTTATTTAAGTGGTTCCCACTGTAGTTGTAACAAATTAATTAATTAATTAATTTTTAAAAAAAACACTGCAAGGCATTTTGGGCAACATTATGCAAATTATTCAAAAGGCAGTGGCAGCATAGCTGCCTCTACAGCCACATGAAGCAGGAGACTTTGGCCAAATGTAACGGCATCTCTTAAATTGAGATCCCTTAGCCATAAGATAGAGAGATCTATAGACGTGGTCACCCCCACCAACCCAGGAAACGTTGGACCACTGATTATACTCTGCTCTGATATGTTCCTGAAGGTGCCAGAGACACTGAGCAACACTTGGTCTACACTGAACATGAGTATTCTGGGATTTAGGCTGTATATGTACACTGGAACCCACATGCTGAGGGCTCTATGACAACACTGACTAAAAGGAAGGCTCATTTACAAAGCTCATGAGTATCTTCTTGGTATACCCTCAGATACTTAGTGAGGAAGAAAGTGGGGTGGCCTCTCATAGTTTTCCTCCCCCCAGCCTGCTTAAGAACCAACTATCAGAATAAAAAAAAAGTAAGTACGTAAAAGAAATGATCCTTAACAAGTATGTGTGGAGCAAGGGGACTTGGTATGCATGGTGATATAATTTTAAAAGCAACAAAAATGAGGGGTTTTAAAGACTCTCTTAGAAAGACTTGCCAGTGTAGAGATCTTCTTCCACCATCATGGTTGCTTTGTTTGTTGTTCTCCTTGGAGTTGCCTGTCAAGTGTCCACTGCCTCAAGGACACCATGCTTACCTTTGAGATTAATAACTTTAGACAAGCATTCCTTTGGCACATGATCCAAAATGTTGTAGAACTGACTGTGGGTATTTGTGTGATATCCGTGTTTTTTGTTTTTTCAAAACAAGCTGAGGTGGCATTCTACCTATTCTGAAAGGAGTCTCTCTATTCAACCACCTGTTTTCCCCATGAAGAAATGGAGTTGAGGCAAGTTTGGTAAGGTCCTTGAGGAGCCTATGAAGCAGACAGGTCTATCCAGCAGCTGGTATATTCCCTGAGAGGAACAAGTCCCTTGCACCCGGGACACTGGAAATTCAACTAGACAAAGTCCTAGAATCTACAAATGGAAATTGGTACATCTTGATCTATCTAAGCATGGCCAGTTTCAGATGCCAAGCAGAATCTACTGCCAGCTTGATGACTGGTGCTGAGATAGTATATTTTTGTTTTCATTTTCACTGTTTATTAATTAATTAACCCTGCTGTCCCTTGCTGCTCTTTCTCTCTCAAATGTGCACACAAGTGTAAAGCCAGCACTGCATCCAAGGAAAGAAGGATCTTTTTTGTTGCATTTCTTTCTAAAGTACCATCTAGCCACCAACAGAGGCCTCCTAGTTTAGTCAGAGAGAAATTAAAAGGTCATGAAAGTCTACCAGTATTTCAAGAGCAGTGGGGCAAAGAGTGGGGTCTGTTATGTTGGTCCGGTGAAACTGCAGCACTTTGCCACATCTAATCCCCCTTCTTTGTTTTCTGAAGAAGCACAGTCAAGAGGGTCATCTGTGTGGAAGGCCTACCTATTTCTTGGTGAATATTCAAGAGCCAAGTATGATGAAAAGTATATGTTTTCACTAATTCTTGTTCTGCATTTGGTGAAAGGCTCCATCCAGTAGGTAATGGTACAATTAAGAATAGTACATTTATCTGGTTGGAGAATAACAAATCTCCACACACAACCCCATTGTTGAGCATTCCCCCAAATCCAGATTATCTTGCAGTACCAATGTTCCTGTACTGACACATAAGAAGATGCTTAAAGGTTTTCTTGAAGGTAGCATTGCAAAGGGCATAACAAGCTGGGTTAATGGTGCTGTTGACATAGCACAACCAGTACCCGATAGACCAGACTGTGTCAGGAACACAACTGCAGAAAGTATGAATGAGGACCATCACATTGTAAGGTGTCCATGTCAAAATGAAAGCTAACAAGATGGCAAAAATGGTTCTGGTGACTTTCTTTTCTCGAGCTGCCATTTGTCGCTTCTTCCTAACCTGACTTCTGGCAATGCTAGCAAACTTCCTGGCAACGTTAACTGGACGGCTGTTTGACAAGGGAATTGGGGTGGAACGGGCTTCTTTGTCCGGGACAATCTCAATGGCAGTGACACATTCAGTCCCAGTTTGTTTAGTGACTATCTTAATTTTGGACCACTTAGAGGCAGGGTGGATCCGTGGATGGGCAGGGCTCTCGCCTGTATCAGCTGGTACAATTTCCAGCCCCTGTTTCTCCTTATTGGTCTGGGTGATGCTTACCGTGCTGGATTCATTGGAGGTTTCTTTCTCTTCTTGATGGCCAGTAGTTTCAGATGGTTGCAAGGGCTGCTCTTCTACTTTCCCATTTTTTGCTTCCTCCTTCACCTCCACCACTTTCTTGTGAGAATTGTTGTTGTTCTGCTTGACCAGAGGGCTTTTCAGAAAGCTGAGTGGCTTAGTCTGCTTCTCCTTCTTGCTCTCGGGTTTGTGCCTTCTCACACGGCTCCGGCTGGCCAATGAGATGTGGATGTACAGCACAGTCATGATAACCACTGGGAGGTAGAAAGCAGCAATGGCTGTGCCAAAGGTCACAGCTGGGTTGGAGAGAAACTGAATGTAGCACTGTCCTTCTGGCACTGTCCTCTTTCCAACAATGAACTGCCAAAATAATATGGCAGGTGCCCAGAGGATAAAGGATAATATCCAAGCGACTGCAATCATCAATCCTGCCATTTTGGTTGTCCGCCTAGCTGGATAGGTCAGTGGTTTGGTAACGCAGAAATAGCGGTCAAAACTGATGATGAGTAGGTTCATGACAGAGGCATTACTCACTACATAGTCCAGAGCCAGCCAGAGGTCACACACTACAGCCCCAAGTGGCCAGTAGCCGTTGACAATATAGACTGTGTAGAGATTCATTGAGAAGATGCCAATTATCAGGTCAGCACAGGCCAAGCTAAAGAGGAAATAGTTGTTGACAGTCTGAAGTTGGCGGTTCACCTTGATGGACAGCATGACTAAGATATTTCCAACCACAGTGACAAGACTAAGTGACCCAGTTACGGTGGCTATGAAAACTAACTCCACAATTTTATACTTAGTGGTGCCTTCCTTGGTGAAATTGCCATTGGTGAAGTTGGCCATCCTTAACAGTTCAGGCTGAGAAGACAAATTATATGTGGAGTCTGCAGAAAGGGAAGGAAGGAAGGAAGGAAGAAGACATTGGAGATATATTACACATCTGCAACACTCAAACAGGAGAGCAAGTATGGACAACTCAAATGGAACCAGGAAGACTGGCTTTCAAGTCTTCACTCAGCTATGATACTCACGGGGTAACAAGTTTAATTCCTTTATGTCAGCCTAATTCATCTCCCAGAATTGCTGTGAGGATAACACTGAGCTGTTATTTATTAGTCAAAAATACTAATAAATAAGAGTTAATTCTTTTCTTCTGAGACAAAAGCAAAAGAATGTATCTCCCTTGTTTTCTTGACCATTCCTCTTAGCATTTTAATCCTTGAGACTTTCAAGTGATATTTGCTGTGAGTCTTTTTAGGACTTCTGTCATTTTAGCAAAAAGCTTACATTTTTTCCTTAAAAAGGTGCTCTTCTAGAACACTCTCACACAGCCAAATGGCTGTAACTGATTTGTACATTATCATCATTTTCAAACCCTTATCATCATCATCATCACCATCGTCGTTGTCATCATCATCATCATCATCATCATTTTATTCAAAGAAGTTCAGAGGGATGTGCCATATCCTCAAAGCAGCCCTGTAAGATGAATTAGGTGAATCCATTGATGCTCTGGGCACAAACAAATATGATCGAAGGTATTTAGATCCATCATTATTAACACTATAACACCCTGTGGGATGGGGATGTCTGAATTGTTGACCAAACTTCCCTTCTGCTATGGCAGATGCTAATCATCCAGCCAGCTCCCCCCACCGGAATGTTGCGAAGATAAGAAATGTCTTTGGTGTTTGCACTACCTTCATTTTCTTGGAGAAGGAGAGGATACAAATGTGATAAGTGAAAAACAGACATCTCTAACATGCTCCCAACTCCCTTTCTGTAGGCCCAAGACCTTTCAGAATTATACTGCCAAAATTCAGGGGCAAATCACCAAAAATCAGTAGCTCAAATTCCAAATAGATCCCAGCAGCAAAATAACAAGAACCCACCCATAGAAACCCCTCCCATTTCTTAACCCTCCAACTCTTGAATGTATATATTGTATTGTGACTACCTCAGTTCCTAGGGATTCTATGTGATAGATATATAAGTCTAAAACATAATAACAAAATTAATATATAACATGACATAAAACACTGGTAACTGATTCTGGCACCAATAACTTCATACAATCAGTTCCTAAAGGCCCTCTGAAAAAGGGCCTTACTACCTTTTGGAACAGATAGTATTGGAATGCTATGAGAGTAGAAGACCTTAGGGAATACCATGGGAGTAGAAGACCTTAAGGTGCAGGTTTATTTATTTTTATTCATTTATTTATCCAATTCCTATAGCTGCCTATCTCAATTCAAGTGACTCTGGGTGGCTTGTTCTGAAGGAGGGGTTTTCCTCCTTAGAAAATACTTGCTGTCTTCCCCCTCTCATCACATGTCACAGTAAGAAGAGAATTTCATTATGTTCTCCCTGGTTATCCATATTTGGCTGGCAGAATCTACCTAGGAAGGCAACCTCTTAAAAATGCAGACTATATAGAGCTTTATAGGCAGTGATCAGCATCTTGAATTGCATCGAGGAACACTGGTAACCAATGGAACTCCTGCAGTAATGCTGAATTTTGTTAATGCAGTAGTACAAGGGCTGTTGCAATTTAGACCAATTTGGAAGTTTCCAGGTAGTCTTCAAGAGCAGAACCATATAAAGTGAATTTCAGTAATCCAGTTGGAAGATGACAAGACCTGTGTGACCATCCTCAGTGCATCCTGTTCCAGGTCAGGACACAACTGGCAGACCAGAAAAGCTGGGTAAAGCCTCTCCTGGCCTGAAGTGGTATTCTCCCAGCAGCTTCATGTAAATGTTAAATAGCATTGAAGAAAGGACCAAGCCCATTGTAATGGAGTGTCCAAGGGACTGACCTCTCCTCCACCTGCCACCACCAACTGGACCCATCCACTCAGATAGAAATGAAACTACTGTGAAACAGTGCCTTCAGTTCCTAAACCTTGTAGGATACTGTGGTTTAGGCTGCAGCACTGAAGGCCGTTAAGAATGTTTATGCTCCCATGATCGAAGTCCTATCACAAATAATCCATGGAAGCAAACTATGTGGTTTTCATCCCATGCCAAGGCCTGAATTCAGGTTGTCATAAATCCAGATGATCTGTATCCTTCAAAGCTGTTTGTATTTGTCTCTTCATTGCTATCTCAAGAATCTTGGATATGACCCATTATCTGTCTATTAAAAGTGGATCCAAGGCTGGCTTCTTAAGCAGAGGGCAGAACATAACTTGCTGGAGAAGCACTGAGTACTGCCTGTATCCAGTTTCCAATCCCCTCCATGATTACTCTAGTTAGCCAGATGGGTTAGGGGTCCAGTCTATGTATATCTACTTCTTGAGATCTACAGGCTCAGAAACCTCCCAAATAATACTGCAAGATGTCACTTCTGTCACCTCTTTGGATTTTGTCTACCCAGTGTCTTATTCAGAACTAATATGAGTTATTTTAACCATAAAATGTTTGGCCAGACAATTAGAACTTATATTAATGGGTTCTTCTGGCCAAGAAGGGTTTGGGGCACTCTAAATAGTACATCTGGCTGATTTCTGCAAATTCAGTGAGGACAAGAAGTACTCCCACATTGCCATCTTTATCATCATAGATGATAAGAGCTCTAATTTGAGCTCCTATACATGTCCAGTTATAACCATTTCTCTTTTTCTACCACTTTCACTACAGGCACCTCAGAGAACCAAGAAGCTGTTTAAGATTGACAAGCAGTGAGAGACTGCTCAATTCTATCTAGTGCCCTAGTCACTCCCATATTCCAGACAAGCCATTCAATAGACCTGCCCTCCTGATATCTAAGAAATTCCCCAAGTGTTGTCTGGAAATCCTCCAGGTCCATCAAAATCTGGGGCAGGCCATCATAATTGGCTCTTCCTAACTGCAAAGGTTAGTGGTTCCAGTTAACCCTGCTGACATGATGTCCACAATAAGTGAGTGATAGAAAAATCTCCCAGTACTAGCTCTTGTCTCAACTGCTCTGAAATAAAGGTCAGATCTAGTGGGTGGTCAGCTACTGTACATGAGTTGGACCAATGACAACCTGGGGAAATCCATGATTGTTTTGTGGCCATGAATTCTCAAGCCATCTCAGACCTCAGAGAAGGGACATTAGCATTGCCCAGCACTAACACTCTGGGCAAATCTACTGCAGTGTGATCAAACAACTCATATGCAGCCACCTGCAATGGCCAGGGTCTCCTGATAAACAATTGCCAGTCCATCTCCCTTACCCTGAAATCAGGACTGATGTATTATATGAAACCTGACTGGACAGATCTCCATAAGGGGGACTCCCTACACCTCATCCAGCCAGGTCTCAATAATGCACACCAGATCTGATCTCTTATCTACAATTAAATCATGGACAAGTTAAACTTATTACAGAAATACAGTGGTACCTTGGGTCACAAACTTAATTTGTTCCGTGACTCTGGTCGCGACCTGAATTGGTCGCGACCCGAATCAAATTTTCCCATAAGGTTCAATGTAATTATGATTAATCCGTTCTGAACCATATGTATTTTTTTTAAAATCACAAAAATATGAAACAAAATACAGTACAGTGCAGTACGAAGAGAGAGAACGCTAACCTTGCTCGAGGCGACTTCTGGCGTGGAG